CTTTTCACCCAAGATACACCATCTCTGTCTCTCAACATACCTTTGACGGCAAGCATGAAGAATGAATATTTAAAGAACGAGCAAAGCCTGTCCACTCCCACCTCCAAAGATGCGAGTTTTATAAACTTTGTATAAACTTTGGAAATCAGGCAGCTAATAGACACAAAGGAAAATCTGGTCTCACAAGATTAATGTCTAGATCTGCTGGATATTCCATGCTTCATTTTTAAGAAATGTATAAGATGAACAAATGCCAAGCGCACTCCTTTACCACAAAGGTTACTAGCTATGCCCAGGTAAGTTATATCTCATGAACAGAGAACAGGCAAGCCAGTTTTTCCAAAACTTTGCTGTGTCTGAAGTCCAAAAGCTAACTATTATTTTAAACCCAAGCTATGGTTTACCCACTTCAGATTTTTTTAAAAGCCTTTCACACGTTAAAAAAGCTGCAGCTGTTAAGACTCTCTGAAGGTTATACAGGCCACAAGTATGGGCAAATCAGGATAAATTGCAATAAAAATGTTGCAAGTGTGCAAGGCTTTGGGCTTTTGGAGAGTGGTATTTTTAGACTGAGGTCTGAAGAATTACTCTAGGACATCGGGCTAGACAGTTAGGGCAACAGAAGGGGAAAATGTCAGCACGAGAGGCTACGGATAGCTTATGGGGTTGCAAGTGCCCAAATGTGATTCTTCCCAAGCAAATAAATTTGCAGTCTGCATCTGTTCATGGGTTTTCACTGAAGATGAGAAAATCATCTCTCCATATGCAAGATACAACCCAGTGCATTAAAAAAAACGGGCACAGAGCAGTCTTTTCAGATAAATTAAAGCAATTAGGAAAAAAATGATGCTTATGAAATACCCTTGAGAGCTTTCACCTCCCTGGTCTTACCAAAGTTGCTCTGAGAAAGAGACTTAAAAATAAAATTTTAGAAAAACGTTTCACACAGGGGCATGGGTTCCCAGAATAAGGTAAGATTATGCGCTGGTTTTAAGGAATTTCAAACTCTCCCTTTCCAAAAATATTCTTCAGAAGGCAAACAGCTACTGGAAAATTTTAACCTGGACTCTGTCCTCACTCGCCTTTTAACTACTTAATTTCTTATGGTCTGGAAAACTTTTCCATTAAAACTACACAGTATTAAACAGTGACAAATTGGCAACCTAATTCTTATTTTTCTAAAACATTCAATAGCGCAGCTAAAAATTTCTTCTCAACATTTACAGCTTTTTCGCTTTTCAGCGAATAGCCAGAAGCGTCACTGCAGTGACTACAGGGAGCGGTACAAAGGCAACTTGTGCACAAGCCCACTTCAAAGACTGCGAGGAAGAAAAAGTCAGTGTGGTGCTAAGTGACATCATTAAAAGCGAGCATCAAGTTGCAGGACGGCCTCATTTCTTCTAGGGAGGAACATTAAATCTAAGGAAGCCAGTGTCATGCTGTCTTTCCTCAAGAGCAAAGTTAGAGGTTGGAGAGCCAAGGCTACTTCACCCAGCAGCGTTAAAACCATTGGAACGCAAATATTTTGCAGTCTGCAAGTTAGGAAGACTTTCACAGTTCACAAGTGAATTAACTTCTTACACTGCTTCCCAAAATGCTGTCTCTTCTGTTATTCTTGTGTGCTGCATTTACACTGGCTTCTCAATTCCTGAATTAAACTCCTTTAACAAAATCCAGGCAGAGTGCTAGCTAATTAATGGGCTGTTAGTACAGAGCAATTTTGGAAGCTATCTTTGAAACCTATTATTCAACTGAGACAAGTCTCATTTTACTATTTTACCGTTACTCAGTTTTCAAAAGGCAGGATAAGGGGGTTAGTATTTTACTATGTGAGAAACAAATCAGACGGACGCCCTTTGGGATACGGCTTTGGTGCGGTTTCTCCAGAAGATACAGACCCAGCAGGCAAATCAGATTTTTGTGGTTATTGCACCTTTTGGTCAAAATTTGGCTGCCTGGGCTTTAGGAACCACAAAGCAGACAGTGGTCTGCTGCTAAGGGAATGTTTTGAAATAAAATTATCTAAATCATGTGCTTGCAACTCTTTATAGCTACTTGGAGGGCCCATAAACACTTCTGCACTGCAGGAGCAAGAACTCCCCATGCTAACCCAGGGCAGAACCAGCAGTGCCATTCCTCCAGTCTAACCAACACCTGCAACAGTTTAGTGTCAAAAAAAAAAATTATATATATATTGCAGTCCCCTGTAGTGGCTAGTTCACCAGGAGAGCAGCACCAGCTCCTCCAGGCCACAGGACAAAGGGGTGCTAAATCCAAGGTGTAAAACTTCTAAGTCAGATGGGGTTCTGTCGAGTTACCCAGTGCAGAGCAGGTCTCTCAGGTGCATTTCTTTAGCATTAAAGCAAAGGACATGTTCTCTTCTACATGGAAAACACAGGAGCCTGTCAATCACAGCCTGATACACAACACAGCTCCATTCTGCACTGCGGCTGTTTTGTCACATTGGATGACTTGAGTCACTCAGCAGTGTTTCTGAGGGTAGTTACGATCAACTCCACAGCACACTTATCTTCCACTGAAATCAGGTGGAAGCAATCACTTCTCATCTCACCAAGTGGAACATCTTCTGTTTTGCTCTTACACAATCTTTTATTGTTTCTCCAGATACCTGCAGTCAAGTTTTCTGCCCGAGAGCAGAATCATATGGGAACTTGCAAACATCCTTCTCCATTCTGGCAGAGACACGCCGAGACATTTTAAGTGCAACCCACCCTGACCTGTCTTCCTTCACAGTAAATTTGACATCGCATACGACTCCGCAGTCTCTATCCCCTCGAGACAAGGGCTCTGAAGGAGTACTATTCCCCTTCTGTCGAAGCTAAGGGTATATATTAATCCATCTACATTCATGGAAGAGGCTTATAAGCCATCTAGATCATGCTACTCTATAGCTACAGTTACATTTTAGACAGCAAAAGCAATAAGCAAGCCTTCAAAAAGTTGTTGCAGCAGCATATCATTTTAGCAGAACCTTTTGATGCCAGTCAGAAATATTGTTTAATGCATACTTTCGGGGGAACAGTCTTTCTTGCAAGACAGACTGTTTGGCTGAACAGAGGTTCTGTAAAACTCATTTGCAGCTTGGCATTTTGCACACAAGGTAAGGTCAATAAAAACC